TAAACACTGAAATCTATATAAATATCATATCAACAACTCTTATATAAATCTATGAGATAATTGTGTTAAGAGTTGTGTCAATACAACCACACATTAATTAACACATAAACCACACAATTATATCGTAATGAATGGCAAACGACAAAGTGCTGAATCACTTGTGTCCGACACCAACCATAACCCCGACCTCATTATCACGTCCAACAATAGCCCACACATTCATTGCCACTCATTATCACCACAATTAGATCCACACAATGGGTGAACAATCAATACCAATGACAATGACATAAGAAATGTCAACACAAAAACACTTACCACTGAAATAGAGAGAAAAATGCAATGCAAACGATGCCAATCGTGTGTCGATATATGTCTTCGTGGATACGATCTAAGAGCTGATCCGCACACAAATCAATGTCACTTCACATCCAAACCGAGCCTAGTTAACTACCGAATTACTCACTTAACTCACTTACTGACTTACTTCGCTAGCTAACCAAATCTAGAGTTACATTTGTTATTAGCGAAAATTTCACGTAATTTTTTGTGAGGTTATTTACCTCTGTCAGTTAACACTCAAATCCATTATAACTTCACATTTCTATACAACACAACACTTTATATTCAAAATACTGTCCACATCTCTACTGCCCGTAGGCCTACAATAAACAGTGCATTGACTAGAGGTGTACGCCTAGCAAAACACATTTCATATGTTTTTTGTGTTGAAAAATCTGTTTTAAACAAAATATTATCACTTTTTTTTGTGTCCACAGTTTGCGGTTGTTTTTGTGGACCAATTGTGTGATATTTATTGTGGCGGCAGCTCTTCCGGAAGCGATGATAAGTGATGTGAAACACGTGGTGTTAGTGCTGTCCGGCAAAGGAGGTGTCGGCAAGAGTACAGTCGCCGTACAGCTGGCTCTGGCCCTCACACACGGCGGCAATCATAAGGTTACCACTCATTACCACTTATCTCAAGACATTATGTCCGCTAATACTGTCCACTCTTTAGGTGGGAATCTTGGATATAGATCTCTGCGGTCCGAGTGTTCCGCGAATGCTTGGTCTCGAAGGATGTGAAGTCCAGCAGACAAATGAAGGGTCAGTACTATTGGCCCAAATGCTCTTCTCTTGTATTGAGTGATGAACTGATTATATGTGTGACCAATAGCTGGCTTCCGGTTCCGGTGGCCGCGTGTCCACAGCTGTGTGTTATGTCCATTGGATTCCTGTTGAAGGGAAAGGACAGCGCAGTCATATGGAGGGGTCCGAAGAAGAACGCTATGATTCGCCAATTTCTAACTGATGTTAATTGGGGTGAATTGGATTACCTGATTGTCGACACCCCTCCCGGCACTTCCGATGAGCACATCTCTGTGGTCGAGTGTCTCAAAGAGTTCCGCAATCCGGACGGAGCCGTTCTCGTCACTACACCGCAGGCCCTGTCCATCGGTGACGTTCGCCGAGAGATCACGTTTTGTCGCAAAGGAAATATCAATATATTAGGAGTCGTCGAGAATATGAGCGGTTATGTGTGTCCGCACTGTTCGGTAA